TTGGTGAAGATAACCAAGGTGCTTCTTAAGGCTCCGCTACCCTTTTGAAGCATTCTTGGGGTCTGATTCTTGAACTCAGACACATGGGGTAATTTCAGCCATTCGTTCTTTACGACAGCCTAGACCCATCTGTAGCTGCCGGAACGAAAAAGCCCCCCATAGTTGTATATTGAAGGAAACATAAAATTAATACATTAATGTCATTGATTTAAGTGTAGAATGTCATGAGGAGAAATGATAAGGTCCAAAAGAAAAGGTTAAAGAGAAGGTTGCTAGCATTTCCTTTTTTTAGTATAAACAATTTAAAGGGGGGTTTACACAAATCTATATATATAAAGCAAAAGGCAGAGAATGGTGAAACATTCAAAATACCAGAAAATGCCCTTGGTTAATGCAAACATTAAGAATTGAAATTATTAATTAAAGAAGGATAATATGGTAAATTCACACATTTTCATATTTAAAAATTTTAAAATTAAAAGAAAAATCAGATAATGGATTCTCTTTTTATGAAACCCAACAACCCATTATCTTTTTTAATTCTAAAATAAATTAAATTTAAAAAAGAAAAAAAAAACCAGACTTCCGTAGGCGCGGAAGCGCATAGAGGCTAGTATTCATTAGATGTTTGGGTTCTCTATTTTTCCTTTTTCAGGAGAGGTATTTATCTGTAACCTTTCAAAACCGGTTTTAGAATATTTAGAAAAATACATGTAATCCCACGTGCTTCCCACGTGACTTTTAAGAAAATACTGGATGTAGCGGTACAAGAACTCGTTCGAGCAGTCCCTTCCCTTGCTCTGCTGCGTTTCTTCCTCCTCCAACCCAAAAGAGAGAACGAAAAAAAAAAAACCCCCAGAAACTCCACCGCACAGAGGCAGAGAGTGTTGGGATGAGAGGGTTACGAAGATTGGTTGGACAAAGTCTTTCATCTCACAGAGGATGCGAAGCTTCTGGACAATTTCATGGCTTCCGATTCATCTCTCGCCGGGCCTATTTACTATCTGCTTATTCACCTGCCACGACGTCGTATCAGGGTCGGCATAACTCCCCCTTTTCGTCTTCTGAATCTCCCTTCACTTCTATGAAATGGGGCTTTCTCGGTGGTTAGTTTCTTATTTGTTAAACTTGCAGTGCTTTTGGTTTCTGGGAATATCGAGAAAAAGAAAAGGGAGTCGAATTGAAATTGAAATTTTATTCATTTTTGTCTAATATCTAGGAAAATGAAGGAAATGAAAAGAAAATGGTTTTCTGTTTTTTATTTTTCATTTTCAATATTCCATTTTATCAATGATCATGGGTTTTTCAAGCTAAGATTTAATTTCATTTGGAAATTGGAGGAGGTATCATTTCATGTCACTCATAAATTTGACATAAATTAATAAAAAGAAAGTAGTTTGGCTTGGCCATCCTCAGGTTGAGGTTATAACTAGCTTCAGATTTAAGTTTGGCGTTGCTTTTCCACAGGGCAGAAGAGAAGCATGTTTATTCAAACTCAATCCACACCCAACCCTGCATCTCTTATGTTTTATCCTGGGAAGCCTGTTATGGAAGTTGGCAGTGCGGACTTTCCGAATGCCCGTTCGGCCATGAATTCAACACTGGCCAAAGCCCTTTATGGAATTGATGGTAAGATTGATATTCCCATTTCTAGTATGCAGCGTTATCCTTTTCCTTGTTGTAATTTTTATTTTCAGGAGGACAATGCCTGCAAATTAATTTAACTTTAATATGCCCTCTTTTTATTGGTCTTCACTAATAATTCTTGAAAAGATACAATACTTTTAGCTTTGAATTGACTTCAAGGGTAGTAACAACTCTTTTCTTGTTATCTATGACTGCAGAACCTTTATTTTTCTACTTTCGGTGTATACGATTTAATTTCAATCTGACTAGTAGTAGAATATTGTTGTTATTTTAGCTCGGTTTCAAGAGAACATCTGAAAAGTGGAAAATAAGTTTAGTGCAGGCTAGAAGCCTGTAAGTGTAAAAGGCAACCTTATATCAAAATAACTCCCAAAATATATCATTAAAACCCTCTCAAAAAATGGTTTTAATTGTTATGCGGGAGAAATCTGTCCTGAGCTGTTGGCTAGTCTAGTTACTATTTGATTTGTAAATTATGTTTCTTTACTATTTGAAAATGGGCTGTATGGTTCGTATTTTTGGCTATGCTATGCTGTTCAGACATTATGCTGAGTTTGTTACAAAAATTTAGTTAAGTTGTGGAGTTATGTACTTTTCAGGTTTGGTGTTCGCTTCCAATTGTAATTAAGTGCACTAGAAGCCTATTTGTATTTAGCCGTTTTCATTTTTTTAGTTTATCAAGAAATTGATGTTAATATCTTCCAATTTTTTTGCCCTGGCTTTCTTTGAGTTCGAGTGACTATATGCTACTCAGTGAGGGACTTCTTCTGGGATCAGACGGGCCGGGAGTGTCATGGTTGTTGGAAAATGGCTTCCTGGTGTATACAGAGGGAAAGAAACAACTGTAGTTTAGAGAATTCAAACCGGGTGCTAAAGTGACCTTGTCTTTTTGGATCACGAATAGTTTTCCTCTGGAGCCATTGCATTTCGGTACAGACTGTTACTATAATCATAGGTCATGAACTTAACGTCTGGTTTGTTCTTGTAAACAAAAGTGTTATACTTATCCAAAAAGAAAAAAAAAATAATGGTTGTAGGAATTTCAGGGGCAGTAGTTGGTTTGAATGTTTCAAGTCTGATTTGAAGGGTTTAAAGCAGCTCAATAGATACGGAAATTATGGGAGGTTTCTAGGGTAGTTGGGAGAAGATAGGTATTAAGGACTAAGGCTGTTGATAATTGAGAAAAGCAAGCAGGTCAGTGCTGATACCACAAGTGGACAGTACTGATAGATTTTTCCCTGTAGGAATAGGAATTCACTTAGTAATTGATTCAGTTGGTACAATAACTTGACTTCATAAATTGTAAAGTAAGACCAAATGACCTATAAGAATGGTCAATTTCCGGCAATTTCTTCCACTCATTGAACTTTGTTCACTCTGGTTTAATTAGGTTTTTCTTCTTCTTATTTTCTCCTGAAATTTTAATTGCTCAGCGTTGTTTTGTTTGGTGATCTTATAAATCTAACGCGGGTTTCTTTTAATACAGGAATTACTCGAGTGTTTTATGGATCAGATTTTGTTACTGTAACAAAGTCAGAAGATGCTTCTTGGGATCTTTTGAAGCCTGAAATCTTTGCAGCAATCATGGACTTCTATTCTTCTGGGCAGCCACTCTTTCTAGACTCAAAAACTGCATCAGCGATGGACACTGCTATTCAAGAAGTATGTCCTGAAATTTAACTCCATGAACTTTTTTCAACTTTTGGGTCAACTTGTTGACAGAGTGTTCAGATCAGTGTTTTACCTTTTGATTTGAAGACATTTTTATTCAACTTCTTAAGAATGTTGTTAGAATTAGTATGTGCTTTGATGGACTGTATATGCTAGTGTTTACTCACCCCCAAGTGGGAGTAACATT